CTGGAGGTTCCTTATTTATAATACTGGCTGTGAGCCTCAGAGAAGCCTTTTTTTGAATGTGGGGGGTGGAAAGTCTAGAGAGGTGGTAGTGGGCCTGAGTTGTTTTCTTTGCTTCTGGCAGATTGTTAGCACTGCTAGAGTTTGCTGAAGAGAAGATGAAAGTGAACTACGTCTTCATCTGCTTCAGGAAGGGCCGGGAAGACAGAGGTGAGGAGTCCAAACAGCCTGAGACCTACTGCCCAGACAGCGGGCAACTAGTGAGGGGAAAAGGGGCTTCTTACTGCGTGAAGTAGGGCTTTTGAGTTTGCCTTATAAACCCTGGGAAATCATAGGGGTGGGAGTGCTTTTGAAGGGTCTATATAAGTAAAGGTCTAGTACTTCTTTATTGTAGCTTTGTTTCTTGTTTGCCTTTGATTTGAACCTACTCTTGGTTTATCAGAATCCTTTTTACACTCTCCTACAGCTCCACTCCTGAAGACCTTCAGCTTCTTGGGCTTTGAGATTGTGCGTCCAGGCCATCCCTGTGTTCCCTCTCGGCCAGATGTGATGTTCATGGTTTACCCCCTGGACCAGAACTTGTCCGATGAGGACTAATGGTCAGAGGATGCTTTGCCCAAGAGCCACAGTGGGGGGAGAGGGGAAGTTAGGCAGCCCTGGGACAGAGGAGGGGGCTCCTTGCTGTCTAGGGAAGGACGCTGAGGGGCTCAGGGTGAGGGTTGCCTATTGTGTTCTCCGAGTTGACTTGTTGAAATTGTTTTCCATAAAGAACAGTATAAACCTATTATTCACATGTAATCACCAATAGTAAATGAAGATGTTTATGAACTGGCATTAGAAGCTTTTTAAACTGCGCTGTGTGATGTGCTCTATCTAGCCTAGGGGAGGACATTGCCTAGACGGGGAGGGACTGTCTGGGTCCAGGGGCAAGGCTTGGGGGGCTGGTGGACGGCACTGTCAGGCTCAGGTTCCCCTGCTGTTGTTGGGCTTTCTTTTTTGGTTTTTAAGACTGTGTATTTTCTTTCCTTGCTTCCTGTCAACCCAGGACTCCTGAATATAGGCTTTTCAGCCCCTGGGCTGTGTCCTTGAGTTTTTCGACACTCTACCTGGGCTCCTCTGTGTGCATTTGTGTCTGGCCTGGAGAAACCAGGTCTCACCCCCTCCTTCTTTACAGCTTAGTGTTGTTCTGGCATTTGGTTAAGCTGGCTTAATCTGTTTAATGTTATCAGTGCATTTCAAATAGGGGCATTGAAGTTCACTCCCACCACCAGGGCTTTCTTTGGGGTGCCTGGGCCTTAAAACACTAGCCAAACTCCCAATTTGCAAATCATAGCCAGGAGTTCTTGCTCCTGGCGTAGGCCCAGGACCCAAGGTGTCTCTTTCCTAGGGTCACAAAGAGTAGAGAGGAAGAGGAATAAGCAACTCAGGGCCTGGGGGTTGTATGGGAATCTGCTCTTAGGGACTGGATGCCTCTGCCTGGCCGAACATAGTGCTGACTGCCCCTCTTCTCAACAGGTTCTGAGTAGTGCCTGAGACCCTGCCCCATAGGGCTTAGGGGTGGGATTGGGGGTGTAGAAGTGGCCTGCCCTTTTCTGTTTTCACTGAACAGCTCATCCTAAGGGGGGAGGAAGGGGGGAGAGATCTAGATTGGGTGAGGGGGGTGGGGGTGTCAGGGAGGCAAGTGTGTTGTGTTACTGTGTCAATAAACTGATTTAAAGTTGTGGTTGGTCTGTTTTTCATTCCTGTACCAGGACCAGCTTTCTACCACTACTCTTTTGAGTCTAGAGCCTAACGTAGCAGGGGTGTGATACATGCTTCTCAGGAAAAGCGCTGCAGTGCATCAGGACAGATAAACCAGCTGAGGCTTCTGGGGCCACCATTATACTGCAAAACACAGTTGCTAGGCGCCTGGGACAAACTGCCAGTACCCCCCTAGAGAGGTATGTACACATCTGCTTCATCCAGAATAGAGTCTATACCCAGGATCCAGGTTGTTCTTAGTGTTTTCCTTTTGTGTAGGAGGCTGGGTCCTGAAACTGGGTTTCGGCTTTTGCATGGAGATGCCTGACATTCCCAATTTCTGGAGGTGTTTGAAGGAAGCAGCACATACCTTCCCTAGAAAGGTGTGGCTGCCATTCCCCTTGCATCACCAGCTGGATGAGTAAGCTCTCAGTGGCACTGTAGGGAGCTAGATTCCCCCCCATCCCCCTTTGAAAGTAGGCTACACGTGGGGAGCTCGAATTCAGAACCCTTAGATCAAGGGTCACATGCTGTACCGATTGAGCTAGCCAGGTGTCCCTTGAATTTTTCAAGCGCTTACTATCATTTTTTTCTCTTTTGCTTCTGTTTTCCCAAGTGATGGACAGGTTTTTCTTCCTATAGCTTTGGAACTATCTGCTGTTGAGCTGTGGCTGTCCTTAGTTTTTCTGAGTCTTTGGCCCATTTTCATAGTATTCTGTGTGGCACTTGTGTTTTCACACTGGCCAAGTTACTAACTTTGGACTCCACCTGATATTCATAAAAATGAGCGCAATACCTCCATCTTCTACAGTATTAGGGGAAGGTCTGGGGCTGGATATTCAATGGAAATGGGAAGGACTTAAATCTGTCCTCCATGGATATAACCCCTAGAGGCAGCGAATGAAAAACGGTCACTGCTGTGAGATACCTACAGCAGCGGTCTGCATGAATGCGGACATTGGCCAAGTTAATGTAGGCAGTTTAGGATTATGTTGAACTCAGACTTGGGGAATCTATAAGACAGGAATAAAGAACCAAGATCAAACGCAGTCCTTCAAACTGATAGGAAACAAACACATTGGAGGTTCTGCTGTCATCTGCTGATGGACCCCCTTCAATACAGCTAGAGTTAGAAGCGTTGAATTGGAAACCCAGGCCCTCAGTTAAGCTTTCCTTTTGGAAAAAGAAATTTTGCTAGATAGGACCCCTGGCAGGAAAGAAATATGGTACCCAAAAGCTGCACTCCAATCAAAAAAGTAACTTAGAAGGTGTTAATATTTTGAGGGGTGATGGAATGGGATAGGGAGGATATGTGAAAGGCAAACTAAGTCTAAATTTAAGAACAGGGACATTAAAAACTTTATTCAATAAATACAACAAATAATTTAAAAATATACTTCAATTCCAAAGCCAATTAAGAAAAGGAAGTAGAGAGAAAGGGGAAAAAAAGGGGAGCAGGAGATCAGAGGAAAAGGAGAAAATTCAAGAGGCAGAACAATGGTTTGGTTGGGCTGTGTTTGAGAATATACCACCCTCTGAAATTCTGATCAAATGCTCTGGACTCACAAATCCTTAGCCCTTGTTCTGATGGGGTAGCCATAGGAGTCCTCCAGCCAGGAATGATTCTCTGGGCTCTGGATCAGAGCACTCTGGAGGCTGGAATTGGGGAGGGGGTGGGAATGTTAGGGGACAGTTTCTCTCTCATTCCTAAAAACCATCCGTTCTAACTCCCAGGCAGTTCAAGTAGTGCAAACTCTTAGCTCCCAGCTGCATAGTTTCACAAGTGAGTGTCCAAAGCCAGGGCCTCCGGGGGGATAGACCTCAGGGTACTGGAGGGGTCCAAAGCCACTTTGGTGAATGGGGTCTAAGGGGGAAGACAGGAGAGGCCAGGGCACAGGATAAAGCCCTGGATAAGCCAGTGGCCAAGCTGGAAAACACCACTGGGCAAGAAAGGGCTCAAGGGCAGGTAGTCTGGACACTGGATTCAACAGTTTGCCATCAGCCAGGGAAGGTGGAGCTGAGGATGCATATGGAGCAGGACCAGGAAGATCAGGAAAGCTGAGGGAAAACAGAAAAGCAGGGAAGGAGGAGGAGGCAGCTCAGCAGCAAACTCCAAGAGAAATAACCAGCAGCCCTCACAGATTTGTGATTGTCTCTTAAAAAGATTTATTTTCTCTTCTTGCCTGAATGTACAAAGGCAAAAAGAGTACAGTTTGTATATATATATATTTATATATATATATATATAAAAAACAAGGAACTTGGTAATGTACACTTTACAGAAGGGAAGAATCAGGAAGACTGAAATTAAATCCAACAGAGCAACGCCAATGGAACAAAAGCTATGAACAGCAACACTGCCCCTCCAGCCCGGGCCTCCAGCTCGCCCCAACCTGCTCCCAATGGGGGGCTGAGCACCAAGGCAAGCGGGTGGGCTGGGGCAAGAGGGGCTGGGGGCGGGGCCTGGGAGGGGCTTGATCCCAGGAGGGGCCCATGGCAGAGGATCATCAGAGAGCTTCCTGGGATGCCCTAGTAGTAAAACAAATGACAAAGGCCCAGAATTATGGGGCCAACTAGCTGCCCAGTTAAATCACAGGGGCAGGAGAGTAGACATTGGGATGGTAACAGGGTACACAGCATAATGAGCAACAAGGGTGACCTCAAAGCCCGTGTACAGTAACTCTAGCCCTTCTACAGTCTCACCCTCCCACCCCCAAAACCACATCCTCTCACCCTCCCCTTGGAGCCCGGAGAGAATATTCAAGAATCACCATTTCATTTCATGGGGTGCCTTCTTAACCATTCTGCCTGTGGTCATTTGACCTGGAGACGTGTGGAGGGAATGAGGTAAGAGAAGGGAACTTTGTACATGTACACATACATGTACAGGCAGGGAAGGGGGATGACGGAAACCGGCACACCTTAAGTGAGGAAGCAGATGTGAACCCTAAACAGCAGCTCTCCCAGCCCTGGCTGTCCTAACTGGGGATGAGGCTCCCTCCCTGTAGGTCCTCTGTGTGGAGCCCCGGTGAACGAGGTTTGTGAAGGGGCAGAGGTGGCTCATAGAGAGCTTTGGTCTGGTGGTCTTGGTCCCAGCAAGCTATTCCAGCCTTTGCTCATGGGGTGGAATCCCTGCTGAGTGTCTCATCTCTCTGAGCAAGTCATGGGTGCCACAGGTACTCCTACCTGTGTGCCTCCTCTCCATAGAGGCTGGAGGTGGACAGCAGATCCTTCACTCAGCACTTGTCAAGGATCTCTGCTTCCTTCGTTGATGCAGCTGCTGCATGTTATTTCAGGGAGGGAAGACTGGACCTGGCAAGGAGCAGGGACCAGGAAAAGACAGTGCTATTCTGCCATTGTTGCTTTCACCTGCTCTTCTGGGAGCTCAGCTCCTACCCTTCTAGGGAGACTTGGATATAAGGATCAGAGAGCCAAATGTTTCTTTGTAAGGAAAAAAAAATTCCCTTCTGCAGAACCCAAGGCTGCCCTGCTAATACAGAAGTTCCTCTTCTCTGTGTTACAGAACCAAGTGGAAGGGGCAGGAATGTGGGGCCAGGCCTGCCCAATGGGAAAGAAAATTACTCCAACGGTTTCTTTACAATATGTACAGAGCACGCTGTAAGCCAGCGCCACAGTTACAAAACACATAACAATATTTAAAAACAAACAGGAACAGAGATGGGCCCTTGGCTCCACCCCACAGGAGTCTGGGAGGGTACAATCAGGCTGAAATTCAGAGTCATCCTCTTGGTGGGGGTGACTCAGGTTAGGTGGGGTGAAGGTGTCCAAACCAACTACTTCCAAGGATGAAAGGGAAGTCACTGCCCAGAGCCCTGCCCTCTGGGTTTAGCAGGAGGCAGAGGGAATGATGGGGAAAAGGGAGGCTGCTTGGGGGCCTGCAAAGTGGTCTAAAACAGTGGGTTTTGGGAAGGATTCAACCCAACTTGAACAAAAACAACTGACATGAAAGCCTAGAGGAGAGGTCTGTAGGTGAAAGGGGCTCCTCTTGGGCAAACGACCCTAAGCCAGGGCTCTTGGAAAGCAGCCTCTGCTGGGCATTGTGCTTATTGTCTTCCACCCCCATGCCCCAGATGGAGTCCGAGCCAAGTCCTTGCTCTTAAATGGTCACTTTGGCACTCTGGTCACAAATACCCTTCTCTAGCCTTAGGCTGGTGTATGTCAGTCTTTCTCAATCCAGAGGGTCAAGGAAAGATAGCCAAGGAGAACAAAGGGATGATACCTCAAAAGCAAAATAAGAGCTAAAGCTCCTCATACCTTGGGGAAGAAGTGACTCCAATAAAGCTACCAAATCATGGTCACTTTCCCAGGGCAAAGAGCATAAAGCTGGGCTGGTAGACTGCATTTCTAAGGAGAGCAGAGAAATGTCTGCTGCCTCATAGCACAGCTCCACTGAGTACACTCTGGCTCTGAGGAGTAATGGCTTGGATGTGTTATCCCAGGGTCTAAGGAACCCGTAACTTTCCATGGCCAGTGGCCCCTAAAACAAAAAGGTGTGTTAACAAAGAAACACAGCTGATATTGGCACACATGGGGTTATAGATTGAGCTATATAAAATTATGTACTTGTATACAGAGGAACTGGGCTGTATATATTTGTGGCCCTAAATGAGGAGGATACTCAGATGGCTGAATGGACAGGACACCTCTAAGAACTGCTGGGTGCTCCCAGGGCCTCCCTCCTGGGCCTTGCCCGAAGGTGACCTGGCAGACTCCAAAGCTCCCCATGCTGGGGGGAATACTGTTTTACCTGCCTGAGTCTTAAGAGCCAAGCAGTGGAAAAGAGAAGGAGAGATCAGCATGGGGATCCCCCTGGGAAAGGCACCAAGGGGTAAGGAGGAGAGAGAGAAAAGGGCAAGGAGTTGGGGGCTTAGAAGCAGCAGGACTTAGTGGGGATGCAGGTTCTTTTTCACAGACTCCATTCATGCTCCAGCTCACTCCCAAGTATCCCCGGGGAGCCCTGTGCTGGTGTTGGGACCTCAGCCCTCTGCCTGACAGGTATCCCAGGGCCATGGTGAGGCAAATGCCTTGGTCTTCCTTTCCAGGCTAGGCTCTGAGCATTTATATGTGCTCACATGAGAGGGGAGAAGTCTTCATGGGTGAAGACTTTGTTTTCACAAGTACAGAGAAAACAGCCCCCAATTTCTTTCCTGAGATTCTAATTCCTCCACATGCTGCCAGTTCCCAGGGCCCAAACTGCTGGGGAGATGCAGGATCTGGTGATTGTGGTAATGACAGTGACAGGGGTATGGCTGCTGTGCTGTCTTCAGACCTTACCCAGTACTTGTGAGTCCCTCCCTGGGAGTGGGGGTTGGCACTGCTCTGGCAGCTGACCAGGGGCTTGGGGAACGGAGCAGTTACTTCTCTGGGCTGAGGCCATGTTCCCCTGGTTGCTCCCCGTGCCTTCATCTCCACAGAGGCCACAACAGTCTCAACTGTGGCCGAGAGAATAAATATTTTTGCTAAGTACCAGCTCTCCAGCTCCTGAGGAAGAGGGAGGGTTGGGGAGTCCAGGGATCTGGTGGAGGTGAGATAGCCAAGGGTCTGCCTTCGGTCATGGTGGGAACGGCAAACAGGATGATCAACACCATTTAACTGATGTCTAAATGGCACCTCCAGCACCTCCTTGGGCGAGCCAGTCCGGGCCCGTGAAGCTGACTTTATCCGGGCACTTGGTGTTCTGCAAGGGAAACATGGACAGATAACCAGGCACTCAGCCTTTTGGTGTAACAACCACAAGGTGGCGCTCCGAGAAAACGAACTGCAGGGAGGCCACTCCTGGCCCCAAGGGGACACCTGTGTTCCACAGCTCTCCTCAGACGCACATGGCTTAATGGGAGGCTTGTACAAGAGGCCTGGCCGGCGGTCCACCATTTCCAGACCACTGACCCCACATGGCTTTCCCTCACTTAGGCTCCACAGGGATTCTGTGATACCTATCAACTATCCCTGTTCTAGGTGTTGTCCCCAATTAAAAAGTGACTTACCATTCTCACCTCCGCGGGGGTGGGTAGAGTGAGGGAGTGGAGCCTTGCTGGCTGGCAACAATGGCTGTAGAAGAAAGCCCTGAGTGAGAGAGGACGGCATGTTTAGTGTAACTCTCCCAGAACTCTCTGATTAAACACTTTCTCATTATTAGATGGGAGGGTATTGGGAGGAGTTTCTCCTTAAATTCCTGGCTCCACTGAGTTTTGGGGTGCTGACAGAATAAAATCTGATACTTGGCCAGAGAGAGTGGCTGCGGCTAGTGTAGTAAAGCTCTATTTTTCAGCTGCTTGTTTCTCTCTGGCTGTGGGAACACCTGGTCCTTATTCTTCTGAATATCAAAGCCAATTTTCTAGAGTAGTTTGAGAGTCCCTAAGCTCCAAGGGAAGAAATAAATGTCATATGCTTCAATGACTGTCTGAAGAAGGCTAAGATCCTGGGCAGATTAGAAGCTCAACAAGAGACAAAAAAAAAAGGATTCTTGCTGGGGGTCCTGTGCTGTGGGCAATGCTACTATGCTACTGGGATGGAGTCAAAAAGATAGGTGGTGGTGGGGTGGCACCTGGCTGGCTTAGTCAGTAGAGCATGAGACTCCTGATCTTCAGGTTGTGAGTTCAAGTCCCATGTTGGGTGTAGCGACTACTTAAAAATCTTAAAAAAAAAAAAAGAAAAAAAAAAAGAAAAGTAGGGGAAGGAGGCTTACCTGCTGCGTAGGGTAAGTTGTACTGCGCTGGGAGCAACGAGTACCCCAAGTGGTGGTGGTGGTGATGTGTGGACATCAGGCGCTGAGAAGGGGAGGTGCGGGGCCGGTCTACACTTCTTTCACCCCCGCCTGCTCCCCCGACGCTGCTACAGCTGCCACCACCCCCAACCACCCCACAGCCTCCCCGATCTCTCTCCTGAGACGTTTTATCACTTATCTGGAAAAAAAAAAAGCAGACACAAAGCACTGTTGTGAGACACACACACGACAGCAAGATGCTCTGAGCCCACGCTGTGATTCCTTACAAACGCAGGACACCTAAGAATCATGGAGTTGCCTGGTGACGCCAGCGTCAGAGTCGGCCAGGCTGCACTGTAGTTAAGACCTGCGCTTGCCCACCTTCTCCCAGAGCCTGGATCTGGCCTTCCTGGGTTCTGGGAGCAGCCAGTGCCACTTACCGTGGGAGACTTGCTCTTGTAGTGACTGGCGTGCTGCTGCAAGATGTCCAGGGCTTTGGACTCTGAGCTGGATTTACAACTGACACTGGGGCTGGCTCGTGCCTTGTCAGCATCTTCACCCCCTGAGACTTTGCTGCCATATGGGGAGAAAGAGTAGCTGGAAGGTAGGTAGGAACCTGGGGAAGGAGAAATAAAGCAGTCAATGAGAGAAGTAAAAGAAAGAAGCTCTGCTTTGGTGAGCCCGGTTAGGGCAGGCATCAGCTTTCCTAGGCAGAGGCTGAGATATTTCCCCCTACGGTGTCTTCAGGCTGAAACTTTTAGTTTGTCCTTTCTTTACTGAGCTCTAGAGGCAAAACTAGCTAAGGGATATTAGGAACAGGGTCCTCAACTTTTGGGGAGTCAGCTTCGCTAGAGCCCTCGTGATTCATCTTGGACGGGCATTACGGTGAAGTGGAAAGATCATAGGATTTGGAGTCAGACAACCTTGGTTTTGAATGCACCTGTCTTGAGACTTACCAGCTGGGTAGCCTTAAGCAAATTAACAACCCTTCTGAGCTTCAGTTTCTTTCCCATCAAAATGAAGACACCAATACTTATTCCATAGGGAAGATGAAATAAGATAATGCACATAAACCACCTAGCACAGTGTCTGGCCCAGAGCAGGCGCTCAGCAAGTGGAAATATTATTTTTATATGGACAGATGGGGTAATAGGGAGAAAGGAACACCACAGGTGACACAATTTCCTAGCTCTGTTTGAAAAGCTTACTGGTGCCTTATAACGTTCTGCCAGGGTATCAAGACTGTTTAGGCTGCTCTCCAATAGGGAGGTGGGAGCTCTGAGGAGTGAAAGAAGTGCTCTCTCACCCCAGAAGCATCCCACATGGCTCTTCGGGCAACAGAAACCAGTGAGTGGAGTTGAGGACCATTTTCTTCCAACAAGTTAAATATGTACACCCCTACAATGTGCCCTTCCCCAAGAAGTCATGGGCAGCAGTATAAAGAGCTTATTTTTCCCAAGCTGAATGTTTTCTATTGGACTTCCCCTCCATTCTGATTTCAAACAGCTCTTCCTCTCTCCCACTGCCTTCCAAACCTTGCAGCTGAACCTGTCTTATAAATGAATACATGCATTGCCCTGGTTTGAATTTTATTTGTTTCATGTGTCTCTCCTGCTACGATTAAGTTGAAGCTCCTTAAGAAGAACTAGCCCTGTTTCTTTTGTATTTCTACATTGCAAAATGTAGAGTATGTGTTTAAAACAGTTCCAGCTGAGAGAAGATGGCAGTGGTTTAGTGGGAGTTTTGCCTTCAGTTATCCAGGAAAATGGACTACAGAGGCAAGACTCTAGCTGGAGCAAGGGAGGGAGAGGCGGTCTCACAGATTGTAGTTTGGGTCATTCAAGGAGCTTGGGGCTAGACTGACCACTCACAGAATGTTACATTCAAAACAGGACAGTCATCTATCTGAGTTTCAATAAGCGTTAGGGCCTGGGGTGCCTGGGTGGCTGAGTTGGTTAAGCATCCAACTTCGGCTCAAGCCATGATCTCACAGTTCGTGAGTTCGACCCCCATGTCAGGTTTTCTGCTGTCAGTGCAAAGCCCACTTCACATCCTCTGTCCTCTTCTCTCTCTCTGTCCCTCTGCCATTCTCACTCACTCTCTCAAAAGTAAATGAACACTAAAAAAAAAAAAAAAAAAAAAAAAAAAGCCTTAGAGCCATGCAAGAAAACTCTGGATCTGAAATCTGTGCTTCATTTCCCCTCCCCGTTAATAGAGCACAAGTGGGAAGAAGGGTGCTGTACCTGGGTAGTTCTGCATCATCACAGCAGGCATGCCCCTGTAGCTGGGGTGGTTGGGGTCATAGGACTGGCTATAGGAGTAGCCGTGCATGTAAGGGATGTAGGACTGGTGCTGGGTGAGGGGGGAGGACACAGGCACATGGACACTTGGCCGGGGCTCCTTGCTCCCGAGGCGGGATTCCTCAGACGTGGGCAGCTTGCAGTCACTACTTGTGCTTTCCTTCCCATCCTCCTTGGGGGCAGAGTCCTTACTCCGATTCCTTTCTTCCTTCAATTTGCGGTCCCGCTCCTCTTTCCACCGCTCATCCTCTGACTTGATGTCCGAGTACTTGGCAGGATAGACATACGTCCACATCCGGGGCTCTGCTTCCTACAACAGTCACAGAATGAGCACTGAGTGTTGTATAGGTAAGAGAGAGACTTCAAGCTCGAGGTCGCAGCAGAAACACCGGAGCAGCTAATACTAGACACCGGGGCAGAATATTTACAATTAACTCTGGTCCCTCCTGCTTTTTTAAAAAAGCCTGCCCCCCTCCTTGCCCAAAAGGAAACAAGATGTGGAGAAGGAAAAGGAAAATCCATCAGTGGGTCTTCTCTAGGAGAGAATATGCATTCTGGGGAAAGGAGTCCTTGAATAGAAGAAGTTGCTCCTTTTCCAAGGAATTTCAGGTTGTTTCACTTCTTTAGAGGAAGCTCCGGAGCAGAGAGGTGTGAGTGTTGCCCAGCTCAGAGGAGGGAGGTCTAACTGTGGCACTAAGAAGAAAGGGAAGACTTTCTAAATCTCATGAGCAGAGCATGATGTGAGACCAAGTTCTCAGTTCTAAGTTTACCTATAAAATCTTTTTTCTTCTTTTTAAATTTTATTTATTTAAGTAATCTCTACACTCAATGTGGCTTGAACTTGCAGCCCTGAAATCAAGAGTCGCATGCTCCACCGACCGAGCCAGCCAGGTACCCCTCTATAAGACCTTTTTGAAAGTAACACAGTCTGAGTAGTAACTTACTCTAGAAAATGGAGAGATCACCATTCCACACAACCAAATAGTGGAAGAAACACCGACTAGGAACTGAGATACCTGGGTTCTAATCGTGGCTCTGCTAGTGAAGTCACAAGTTACCCTACACAAATCAAGCTAACTTACCTTGGTCTCTCTTGTCAAATGGGAAAAACACCTTCTACTGACGTAACCTTGCTTTTTAAAAACATGAAAATGATTTACAAAGGTAAAGAATCTTTAAAATTATAGATTTCTCCCGCCAATCTGTATTCTGCTGACACCCTACATAAGGAGAGCCCGGACTTGTGAGAAAGAGACAAAGACTATCAAACAGTGTTTGGGTTTCCTCCCAGAATAGTTACCTGTCGGTACCAGAGTATTGGATCCACCTCTGCCTGTCGGCCACACTCAGCACCTGTCTTAGCCTCAGAGGCCTCCTTGCCTAGGTGGCTGGCCTCACTCAGCTTCACTTTAAGTCCTTCTGGGGCCTGGTTGGGCAGTTTGGAGGAGTCGTCTAACTTGGGAATAATGACTGATTTGGCAGGGTCAGCCCCTGGCTCCTTGGCCTTCCCGGGTCCTGACTTGACCAGGTCTGTCAGGCTGGGGGCCTTGGTGAGAGTTGGGGGAATCGACGGCTTTTGCTTCCATTCTTCCTTGAGTGCCGCCTCCCGCTCCTTTAGGCCCAACTCCACCTTCTTGTCCAGTCCCCGCTGCTGCTGCTCCAAGCTCTGCCGTTTCTGCTGTTCCTCATATTGCTGCCGGTAGGCTGTGTTAGTGCTCAGGAGGTGGGTGTGGTAACTCTGGTCGCTGTAGCCATACGGGGGCACGTAGGCATACTGGTTGTAGTACAGAGACTGCATGTACATGTTGGGACGCTGCTGGATGACGGAAGGCTGCTGACTGGAACTGCTCAGCTCTGGTTTCTTCTCGTCACAGACATCGTTCTTCACTTTCCCCTCTACGCTCTCTTGCTCCTCATCCTTTTTTGTCTTCAGAGCTTGGCTCTCCACTCCTGCCTGGCTGCTGGGGTTCAGAGCCCCTGGGCTAGACTGTGCATAACTCGGAGAGTAGTAACTCTCAAAGCCTTGATAATATGGCGAGTCTTTGCTCTGTGGTTGAGGGGGAAAAAGAGTTTTCTTAGCCCCTTCCTTAATCAACTGTTCAGGGTCCTTTGATTTGACGCTGTCCACTTTGCCCTCCCCATCCTCCCCAGCATCAGATATGTCGGAGTATGCAGGGCTGTTGGTTTTGACCGAGTTGGCTTCGGCTCCGTTCTGGGTCACTACATGTAAGGGAGTCAGGGGCTGGGTAGGAGTAGTGCTGTCTATGCGGCTACTGCCTCCAATTGAAGGGCTGGGGGCATTGTCCGTGAAGCTGTAGATCTTGTCAGCTTCTGCCTTGATGCTAGCCAGTCGGCTCTGGTGGGGGTCTGATGAGCCATTCAGGAGCCCCTCCATTTTCATCCCATCTCCCGAGGAGTCCCTGAACGGGCTTTTGCCTTCTTCTGCTCGACACACCTTCCCAGGGGTCAGAGGACTTTCGAGTTCCTTTGAGGACTCCTTCTTTTTTTTGTCTTTCTTTTTCTTGTCCTTGGCTGGGGTCAAGGCAGGGTTGACTGTGAAAGGTTCTCCCATCACAGTGGGCTTGGGCTGAATAGGCTTGAGTTGGGGGCTGTTGGGCATGGCTTGGACCACTGTGGTGGTCAAGCCTGAGGAGGAGCCTGGGCTTGCTGCTGTGAAGGTGGCTGTCTGGAAGGTGTAGATTTGCTGTGGAGGGATGGCAGGGGCAATAGGCCGCGCTGACTTTAAGCTTTTGGAAGGAATCTTTTCAGGCTTCAAACTAGAGGGTTTTTTACATTTTTCTTTTTCCATACACTTCCTTTCTAAAGAATCAAAGGCATCATTGCTTGTTTCATCCATTACTGAGGGTCCATCATCAGAGCCATCATTAGATAAGGCCCCAAGGTCTGTGTCCCCTTCCCCACTAAGCTTTTTCTTACACAGGCCTTTTGTGCTGAATTTGCTTGAAGGAGAAGGGCTGTGGGGCTCTACGAGCCGAACTTTGGGGGTAGCTGAACGGGCAGGGGACAAGGAACCTTTTTGTGAGACGGATGCACCATTGCAGCTCCCAAGGTCTGCATGGAGGGTGGGCTCCTCTCCATATTCACTGTCTCCATCTGCTTCCGGCTTGCTGTCATCGTCTGTGTGGGCATGAGCTTGGTGGTACTTAAGTCCATTGATGTGCTTATACTTTTTGTTGCAGTTTGGGTGGGGACAGTCAATCAGGACTGGGGAGGGACAATTTCTGTCTAGAACAGTGGGTTCAACCTTGGTCCCAGGGAGGGGACCAGTGGCTGAGCCCATGGAATTCGTACGGACACGCTTGCTCCCTTTGGAGTCCTCTGAGCTGGAATTCAGCTCCATGTCTGAAAGCGGTTTGTTTTTCCGCTTATTAGCTGAGGAAGGGCTGGCCTTGACATCCTCAGAGGTGCTACTGGCAGGTGGGCGATGCTCTGAAGAATTTTGGCTGCCCCGACGGCCTTTGCTATTGGCTCCTGCTCGGGTTTTGCTGCTGCTGCTGGTCCCTTTGCTGTCAGAGGCAGTGGCCATCTCATTGACAGGTGTGTTACTGTTGGGACGCATGCGTTTGCCTCTACCCCGGCCGTTGCGCATTTCCAAGTCACTGGTGGGGGAGTCACAGAACCTTGGCAAAGGGCAAACACAACAAGATATTGTTAAGAAGAGAAAACACCTTCAAACCAGTTTAGGTGCCTCCAGAACTGTCCGGATGGTAACTATCATTTTCAATGAATATGACTTGTTAAAGGAACTTTTGAAACCATGGGAACTGCGTTAAGTGGTGAGCTCCTAGGGTGCTATCTGCATGTTAGCTGTACATCATTCCCCAACATTTGAGTTCCCCAAACCCTGGCAAACTGGGAATAAGCTGTAAAGTGCCATTCACTGCGATGTCAACCTGAAAGAACCCACATAGTCCAGTGTTCTTAAAACTGCAAATGTTCTTGAGGTTAAACTCCTGAGAAAAAGCTACTATCAAAAAGCATCATCAATAAATGTTTGTTCACCCGTAGGCGGACTCGATGGCCTTAGTCTCAAGGTGACTACTGGTAGAAGCCAGAATTCAATAATTTCACCCAAAGGCTTAAACAGGATCTCCTCCCCATTCCTACCCAACCCACCAACACCTAATTGATTTATTCTTGAATGCAGTGCCTTCCTCATCTCTACACCATCATAGTCTTGAAAAGCTAGGTGTCTTAAAAGCTATCCAACTCTAACAGGAAGAAGGGATAAGAAGGGATCACCGATTAGACTGGTTCAGACTAATATTCACCAAAAAGCTGTAAAGTGCTTACCTGGGGGGTGCCCAATCATGCCGCGTGCAGTCAAGAAGTGTGCCTACATAGGTCTTATTCCTCCATGTTACATTTACCACCAACATCCCTGGAAGACAAGAAGATTCAGATACAGACAAGGGAAACCCTGCTGGCCACTGAGAGGAATACTTTTCATTTGAGGAGCATCCTGGTTCCTGGAGGAGGATTTAGGGTTGCCCTGGGTCCCCATGAGACAAGCAGGACTGGGCCAAAATACCATTATGGAAACTGCCTACTTAGCTCAATGGATTTATAAGATTTAGTGCCATACTTACATCAGATTTCTCTTTTAAAGTATCATGGTTACAAAAAGCACTCTTTACTGTATTTTCAAACTTTGCATATTGATGGGATCATGCTGGGGTGTAACTTAAGTTACTTAAGTAAAGTTAACTTAAGTTTCTCACATAACATTACAAACTTGAGATTTATCTATGTTGACATGAAAAGCTTAATTAACTTATTTTAACTGTGCTCATGAAGGACACTGTATGATTTGACCATAATTTACACATTCTCCTACCGATGGGTATTTAGGGTATTTTGAGCATTTCACTCGGGAATGATTTCACAATGAACACTCCTGTCATGTTCATATTATTAAATAATGCTTTTGGGTGGATAATATAGTCATATTCCAAAATTCAAACAGTAGCAGACAAACCCCAATATAAATGAAGTGTTTCCTCCTATCCCTGTTTTGCAGCCTTCTGGTGCCTCCATTCAGAAATATCCATGGATATCCATGTGTTCCTCCAGAGATATTTTATACATTTATAAGCAAATATGCTTACATGTTCTTCCTCAAATGGTAGCAATATACAATGTTCTGTACACTTTTTTCATATATATGAAATCTAAATACTTTTTGAATCATTCTCTATCAGTACACATACAACTACTTCACTCTTTTCAATGGCTGCATTTGAATGATTGCAAATCATGCCACAGTTTATTTAATCAGTCCCCTGTTGACAGACATTTAGGCTGTTTCACTACTTTGTTATTATAAATAATGCAAAAATAACCCTGTACAAATGCTTTACCTTACTTACACGAGTATGTCTCTAAGATGTAATTCCTGTAAGTAAAATTAATCATGGAGCACTTAAATAAATTTTTAAAAATCCAAATATATTTATTTTGAGAGAGACAGAGTGTGAGCAGGGGAGGGGCAGAGACTCCCAAGCAGGCTCCCTGTCAGCACAGGGCCCGATGTGGGGCTTGAACTGACCAAACTGTGGGATCATGACCTGAGCCGAAATCAAGAGTTGGACACTCAACTGAGACACCCAGGTGCCCCTGTATTTGGATTTTTGATAAACACTGCCAAATTGCAAAGAAGATTCACCTATTTATACACTCATCAGCAGTGCACGGTAACACCAGCTGTGTTTTTCCTTTGGCAACACAGTGTTCTCAAACTTGTTGATCTTTGCCAACCTGACAGGAGAAAAACAGTGTTTTATGTAGTTTTAATGAAATGTTTCCTATGATGAGTCTGTGTATCATTTCATTTTAAGACATCATTATGAAATGTATTTCCTTTCTAGTGAATTGTCTCTTTATATAAAGCTTTCCTCATTTTTCTACTGAATTATATAGTCTTTTTCTTATTTGTAACTCTTAATACACCAGAGTGAGCCTTTTGTCTGTTGTACAAATCAAGTATTCCCCCCTGGTTTGTCATTTGCTAATGGTGGTTAAGGCTATGCAGAAATTATTTACCTTTTTTTAAAGTAATCTCTATAGCCAATGTGGGGCTCAAACTCATGACCCTGAGATCAAGAGTCACATGGTCTTCCAACTGAGCCAGTCAGATGCCTTGAAATGATTTACTTTTGTTTTTACATTTATCAATCTTTTATGGCTTCAGAGTTTTCTTGTCATATTTCAAAAGGCTTTCCTCGGGGCGCCTGGGTGGCTCAGTCGGTTGAGCATCCGACTTCAGCTCAGGTCACGATCTCACGGTCCAGAAAGTCTGAGTTCTCCCACCGGGCCAGGCTCTCTGCTGAGGGATCAGAGCCTGGGCTTCAGCTTATTGTGTTCTTCTCTGCCTCTCTGCTCATGAGCCTGTCTCTCTCAGGTTTAAATAAACGTTAAAACAAAACAACAAAACAAAAAAGGCTTTCCTCATTTCATCACTTCATTAACAGTTTTTCTTATGATTTCTTTTAGTACTTTTATAATTTTTATTTTTTTAACATTTATTTATTTTTGAGAGACGGAGAGAAACACAGCATGAGAGGGGGAGGGGCAGAGAGAGAGGGAGACACAGAATCTGAAACAGGCTCCAGGCTCTGAGCTGTCAGCACAGAGCCTGATGCAGTGCTCGAACCCACAAACTGTGATATCATGACCTGAGTCAAAGTCGGTCGCTTAACCAACTGAGCCACCCAGGAGCCCCATATAGTTTGATTTTTTATATTTACATCTTTAAAAAAATATTTATTTTTGAGAGAGAGCGCGAGCGAGCATGCATGCAGGGGAGGTGCAGAGGGAGAGGGGGACAAAGGATCTGAAGCAGGCTCTGTGCTGACAGCAGAGAGCCCAACACACGGGTGGAACTCATGAACTGTGAGATCATCACCTGAGCTGAAGTCAGATGCTCAAGTGACTGAGCCACCCAGGCACCCTTTGATTTAAATCTTTAATCCATCTGGAATTCAACTTCGTATAAAACTTAACTTTTTTGTATTCTTAATTTATTTTTAAAAGTTTATTTAGAGAGAGGGAGATGGCCAGTACGTGGGGAAGGGGCAGAGAGAGAGTATTCCAAGCAGGCTCCACACTGTCAGATGGAGCATGATGAGGGGCTTGAACTCACAAACCTTAAGATCAGGACCTGAGCCGAAATCAAGGGTCAGATGCTTAACGACTGAGCCACCCAGGTGCCCCTCAAAAAAATTTTTTTAATGTTTTTATTTGAGAGAGCGAGAGAGTGAGAGCAGGGAAAGGGCAGAGAGAGGAGGAGACACAGAATCTGAAGCAGGCTCCAGGCTCTGAGCTGTCATGACAGCACAGAGCCCAATTCAGGACTTGAACCCACGGACTGCAAGATCATGACCTGAGCAGAAGTTGGATGCTTACCGACTGAGCCACCCAGGTGCCTGGTTTTTACATTTTTAGTAATAGAAAAAATGAAAAGGATACTATTATTTTATGTTATGTGATATCATATGAAATTCAAATATCATTACCCATGAATAAAGTTTTATTGGAACATAGCCACAGTTACTATTTATGCCTGATTTCACACTACAAGGCAAGATTGAGTATGCAACAGAGAGGCTGTACAGTCTACAAAGCCCAAAATATTTACTACCTGGCCTTTTATGGAATGAGTTTGCCAACCCATTGGAGTCATTCAAGTCAAAACAGTTTCTAGTCTCCCTGGTGATTTCTATTTTTTTTTTATTAAAATGTTTTTTATTTATTTCTTGAGACAGAGAAAGTGTGTGCGCAAGTAAGGGAGGGGCAGAGAGAGAGGGGGACAGAGGATCCTAAGCGGACTCCATGCTGACAGCAGAGAGCCTGCTGTGGGGCTTGAACTCACGAATTGAGAGATCATGACCTGAGCTGAAGTTGGACACTTAACCAATTGAGCCACCCAGGCGCCCCTAGTAATTTCTTTTTTGATCCTGGGTTATTTAGAAAAGTGTTGTCAAAGTTTCAACTATCTGGGATTTTCCAGATATCTTTTTGTTATTTATTTCTAATATAATTTGTGGCAGAGAACATACTCTACGATTTCAATCCTTCCAAATTTATTGAGAATTAATTTATAGTCTGAAATGATCTATCTTGAAGAACATTCCATGGGCACCTGAAAAGAATATTTTAAAATGTATACTCTGCAGCTTTTGGTGTTCTATAAATGACTGATAATGTTATTCAAATCTATATTGCTACTAATTTTCTGCTTTCTTATCAATTATTTGTCCCTTGTTCTCGCTTACTGGAAATCCTATTTCTCTAGAAATTTGGACCTTCTAGATTAATCATCTTTTTTATGTTTTCACTATTTTCCATTCCTTTATCTGTCTTCCATTCCTTTGTCTATATTCTAAGGGATTTCCTTCATTTTCTAAGTTATATACTGAAATTTCCATTTTTACTACTGTAGCTTTAAGTTTAAAAAAGGCATCCTATTGTTTCATGGATACAGTATCTTATCTCTCTGAAGATATTTAATTACACAACACAGGTTTGAAGTGTGCAGGTCGGCTTCTATCTGGATTTTTAAAAATAAATACAGCACATTACTGTAAATGTTTCTCTTCCTTATTTGTAAAAATAAATTCTAGTATAATTAACATACTGTGTTATATTAGTTTCAAGTGTCCGATATAGTGATTCAACAAATCTATCCCTTACTCAGTACTCATCACGATAAGGGTACTCCTTATTTCTTAGCTCTCTTTCCTCCCAACCTCAGACAAAAACAACCAACTAAAAAAACCAAGCTTTTGTTCTTTCAGGTCTCTTAAATCAGTACTTGTGCATCTGCTGTCTAGTTTCCAAAGTTCTACTGATTATAACTGCTTGCAAGTAGTCTTGGTCTGTTTTTAAAGAAACCTGTGTGTTATATCTTAAAAACAAAACTCCTTTACTGACATTTGAATGAATTATAAAGGGAGAAAGTGGGAGGTAAATATGTACTTTCAATCTACCATGTTTAACCAAAATAATGCATTTACTTTTATTTATCTGGTATATTTCAAACGTACAACCTACCTCAACAATTAGGTCTCTAATTAGAATCTAGTTCAGGAAAATTATCACCTATTATCTATTCATTTATTGTCTCTCTGCCATTCTTTCAATCTTTTTTATTCCCTAGGACTCCTATCTGATATGTTAGAGCCTCTCAAGCCATTATCTCTCCATTTGAGTTGATTTGTGTTTGATTCTTCCAATTTATAATTTGTTCTAGAATTTATCTAAGGTATTGACTTAAAAGGAATTTCAATGGCTATAGTATATAATTATATTTCAAAGACTGTTTATCATTTCAAAAATTTTAAACTGGTTACTTTCTCATATCTACATGACATTATTTAATTT